TGGATTTATAATAGAAGTTTGAATTATAAATCTTTGAACAATATGTTTTGTTTTTGGTTATTATGGAATTTCTTCATCCATTTTATGTGTGTTTTTTTTCATTGTTTCTTATAAATATCAAAAGTGAAAATGGGAAATTGTAATACATGTAGATTATGCAATTAAAATGAGTATAAAAATTATTATACAGGAAAATAGGGAGGATTAGAAACTCTACAAAAATATATTGATTAATGATTGTAATAGTTAATTTACTTTAAAACCTCCACTAAATAATCTTTACTATTATTCCACTTCAAAGCCTCCAGTAAAAAAACCCTGCACTTAGCATAGCTTTAAAACCTCCTTAAAAAAATCTCTACAGTTAGCATAGCTTTAAAACCTCCTTTAAAAAACCTCTATAGTTAGCATAACTTTAAAACCTCCTTTAAAAAACCTCCACTATTAGTGTAGGTTTAAAACCTCCTTTAAAAAACCTCCACTATTAAACACGCACAATACCAGAGGTTTCTAAAAAACGCCGCTAATTGCTTGCGGCGAATGTAACTGTGGAGGTTTTTAGAAACCTCTGCGATTTACTTTGCGGAGGGTAAAAACCTCCACTAAACGTAAAAATAACCTCCACTGTTTAGCTCATTTATTGTAGTGACTACTACAAAATTACTATTTTACATCATTACATCTACATCGGTTCCTCTATAAACGATGTAAATAAGAAACGTGGTGCCAGTTTTGTAAATAAATTGAAGATATAAACCATTCTACATCGGGTCTATTTTTGACCATGTAAAAATCGAATAACAATATTATTCTACATCGGGTTTTGCATTTAACCGATGTAAAACTGAAGCCAAATTTTCGCGGCCCCTTCACCCTCTCTCGCGGGCTCTCCACAGAACACATATGGTCGCTAGAGGCACCCTACTCGGTGCCGTATCACCCAACCAAACCCCTCACACCACACGCCGCCAAACAACCCTCCCCTCCGCCGCCGCCTCGCGGTGCCACCACCGTACGAACCTTGATTTAGTGGAACATGAACAACAGGAGGTGCTTGGTTGCGAATGGCATCCACCGTAAGCCTCGACGTCCCCGACGGCCCCGTGATGAGCCTAATTAGCAAGCGCCTCTATGCCCTCCGCAAGAAGCTGAACCGCATCAACGCCATGGAGGACTCCGTTTCCCAAGGGAAGCCGCTCAACAAGGAGCAAGAGGAGGTCCTCCGCTCCAAGCCCTCCGTCCTCGCCTTCATCGACGAGCTCGAGAAGCTCGACCAGCCTCTCGCCTCCGCCCTCGCCGAGGAGCTCGAAGCGTCCGTCGCGTACACCCGCCACGGCACAGCCGAGAACTTCGACTCCAGCGAGCCGCCACCGCACTCCAACGAAGCCGTTCTCGAGGACCTCCTCAACTTGCTTTACTTCGGCTCGCTCTTTGACGTCAAGAGCGACTTCACCTCCATGATGCTCACCCGGACGCACGAGCGCGGTTGCTGCTTGACCTACGACTACGTCATCGACGACGCCACTGATCTGCTCGGTGAGAAGGACCTTGATTCATTCCTGCCATAATCTTCTTGTTGATGGTCTTAATCTCTGAAAACTATACAAAAGTTGTTCACAGTTCTGAGATTAGGCATCTTTTTTCTTGATAGGACAATACTTTTGCTATTATTAGCCCATGAATTTTCAAAAGTTTCTTTAAAGTGATTAACATGCTCTTGCATTCTGGTTGCATTATTCCTTATTTGTTGCTGCTTGCTTGTTTCTTCTGCATGCATTTCTACATTAATGTCTGCAGTAGAATCTGCTTCACTAAACCATACAACTTTACTTTCTATTGTGGCCTCTTTGTTCTATTAGATTTGTGATTGTGTAATACTTTAACATTTTTACTCTACTTTTCATTACTGTTGGGAATATCTGACAAATTTCTATTACAAAATTAATTAGTTTAAGGTGAATACAGTGCTTGGTTCAGTTGTACCACCTTTAACAGTTAAGGTTTCCCGTGCTTTTAGTACAGGTGCAAAAGATTATGCTATTATTGACAGCAAGGTGAGTGATGAGTCAATTATTTCTCCTGAGGGGTGAGGCTTTGGGAATATTTTTCCCCCTCTGATGCAATTATTTAGTTTCCTGTGTTTCTTTCTTATCTCTGGCACCTTCTATTTTGCATGACATAGGAACTCCAATATGACCAAGAAAGTGGATTTCATTTCTTGGATGCTTTTCCAAAGAATGTGGATGTGGGAACATATGTGTTTGTTTTTGAGGTATTCCTGTTTGTTTAATTTAGTTATTTATTTTAAATTAAGTTACATCAAGGTATATTTGTATCTTTGTATATTGATAACATTTTACCCTATTTTTTAGATTGTGCTTCATGATTGTGGCAGTGAAAATGTTTATGCAATCGGAGGCCAAATTCATGTACCAATTTTTGTCACTGGAATTATTGAAGTTGGCAATGCAGAAATATCAGTTCTAAACAGTAATATTGGAAGTAATGAAACCCAGAAAAAGTATGTTTCTATTTTTGTTTAATATCTTCTTTGTAAGTTTCTTTGGTGATATTTAGGATACTTTTGTTTTGTGATCAGTATGTCAGTTGATTGGCATTCTATCATGTGTTTGAAGTCTTAACTGAAATATGATTCATATTTTTGCTGCTTTTCTACTTGTAACTCTTGTATTCTTTTGATTTTTTTTTAATTTTTGACTTTCATTTATTCTTTACCTATCCAGGCTAGATTTGGCTGGAAATGACGTTGTTTCACTCTCAACTAATCACCTATAGAAGTTGAAGTTGTCTTTCCAATTGACAACACCTCATGGTCATGTTTTTAAGCCTCATCAGGTTTGCAGTTGCCTCTGCCCTCTTAGACCTTTCAAATGAATGTTATTTAAATGCTCTGTTTATTGAGGTTTTTTTTTTCTGCAGGCATTTATCAAGTTGAGACATGAGATGATGGAATCATGCTTAGGAAGGCAAGAGGTGACATCCTAAAAGATCCAAGAGGAGTGGGCTAGACATGGAGGTTTGGGCCAGTCAAGGCCCAATGGGCCCGATGGGCTTGAAAGGCCAACTTAAGCTCTACATGGGCCTATCTTGTGATATCCAATCTTCTTATGTTTTGCTAGTATAGTTTCCATATATTTTGGTCTTGTATTTTGGACCACATAGAGTAGCATTTTGGGCTTAAGGCTTATTGGGCCTAGTTTTGGGCTTCATGGGCCTTTGGGCTTTTGGTACCCAATATTGGGCTCATTTTCATTCTTGTAATTTTTCCTTTCCATTGTATTTGATTGGCCATTGTATTTAGGCCATTAGAATATGATTGTACAAGAATTACTTAAATAGGCAATTTATACTAAAACTAGGTTTAATTTAGAAGTCATTTAAGTTACATTTGAGTCACATGTTTAGCACCATGGGTGGCTAAACATGTGCCTCTCAAATTAACCCTAAATGATCCTCAAATTAAACTTAGATGCACCCTAGTACCTAAACTCACGGTCAAGCACATGGGAGCCAAAATTTGAATTCAAATTTTAGGCGCCACATGTAGGCTTTGATTTAGGCGCCAATGTGTGCATTTCCGGATGCCTAATTAAGTGATCCTTCTCCTTATCGTAATCACTTTTTGATATATAGAATTTCTGAACATTTTCTTCAGCCAAATTCTTCAAAGAGTCACCGAGAGAGAGAGTGCCTTCAAACCCTAGGAACCTTGCTTAGTTTCCTACCATTGAAGTGAGCAATCTCTTGATGCTTAAGCTTGGATAATTCCATCCTTAGTTTAGGCTCCTTTGATTCGAAAACTTCCTTCAATTCAAGCTTCTTCATTCGGTTCTTCCTCTCCAAAGAAGAGATCCTACGCAAGGTGAAGCCAAGGAGGAATTTCATCAATCATTTCTCCTACCTCCACCATCATGAGACAAAGGTTGAACAAGTCTTTGTGGTTGGAAATACTGGCAAGAAGTTTGAGATAATTCTTGTTAAGTATCTCTTATAATATTATTTCATTTTCTGGGTTTTTTGAGGTCTTTCCCTGAGTACTCGTTCAGTTTGTTACATTATATTATAAATAGCTATTATAATGTTGAATTCACATAATTAATCTCTATGGTATGTATATTTTTCGATATAAAGGAAGATTAAGAGATGAGCATTATCAAATGAAAAATTATTTACTGATTAAACCATATTGCAACTCTAATCACTAGTAAGGCAACAGCAAGATTTTTTTTTATCTTTTAACTTGGAATTATTGACCTGCTTTAACACTGCTTTTGAGCGTGGCTGTAATACAATTGCTTATCATTTTTTGTTTTTCTTTTATATCAGGGAATACTATAACATTATTTTGATTCACATTTTCCTCCTATGGTTCTCTCTCTCTCTCGCTTTTCTTACATTGTTATTTTGACTTGTAGGATTTTCTTGGCTTGGTGGAGAAACTTTTTTATCTCTCGGGTAGATATGTGGATTCATTTGTTTGGGTGGAAGCTCGTGATTTGTTTAACCTCCCATTTTCTTCATTAATATGTCAGTTATGTAATTGGGATGAAACTATATATACTAATTATTTTTCCCCAATTTAAGGGATATTAAATGTGCAAATATATTGGTGGATGCAAGTGGATCATTCAAGCTTGCAGATTTTGGATTGGCGAAGGCAACCAAATTGAATGATGTTAAATCAATGAAGGGGACAACATACTGGATGGCTCCTGAGGTTTGCCTCCAATCTTTAATTGACTAATGCTGTTTGATAATTATTAAACAATTCAGGCTACCACTTTTGATCCAAATTATCAATTTTATTGCCATTTTTTTTTGTAAATTAACTTGCGAGTTTTGTTGATTTTTGTGTTCCGCATTTTGTATTGGGTAGAATTGTTGGTTGATGATTCTTATATATATATATATATTTTATTAATATACCTCTTAAATGTAAAAAATTACACTACTGCTGGTTTTGATTTTTTGAATTTTAATTAATCTCTTCAAACAAACAGATACATACATTATTTAGAATTGGAAAAGGTGAGCGACCTCCTGTTCCAGACCTCCTGTTTATATAGGTAACCTAGAAAGAATCTAAAAAAATAAATGAAGCTTTTTTTTTTTTTTTTTTTTATAAATTCAATCTACATTGGTTTCCAGCAGAACCGATGTAGATTTGTGAACACATCTACATCGGTTGTTGGTATAACCGATGTAGAATAGTGGTAAAATCTACATCAGTTTTACTTGCAACCGATGTAGATTTGTACGCAAATCTACATCGGTTTTCTGACAACCGATTTAGAAGTGTTTGTTTTTCTAAGTCGCTCTATTCTACATCGGTTTTATAACCGATGTAAATTACCTTCCAGAACCGATGTAGATAATACATCCTGTAGTAGTGATATCACATAAAATTTCATCTTTATATTTTTCAATGGAGAATTACTTCGGCTCGCTCTTTGACGTCAAGAGCGACTTCACCTCCATGATGCTCACCCGGACGCACGAGCGCGGTTGCTGCTTGACCTACGACTACGTCATCGACGACGCCACTGATCTGCTCGGTGAGAAGGACCTTGATTCATTCCTGCCATAATCTTCTTGTTGATGGTCTTAATCTCTGAAAACTATACAAAAGTTGTTCACAGTTCTGAGATTAGGCATCTTTTTTCTTGATAGGACAATACTTTTGCTATTATTAGCCCATGAATTTTCAAAAGTTTCTTTAAAGTGATTAACATGCTCTTGCATTCTGGTTGCATTATTCCTTATTTGTTGCTGCTTGCTTGTTTCTTCTGCATGCATTTCTACATTAATGTCTGCAGTAGAATCTGCTTCACTAAACCATACAACTTTACTTTCTATTGTGGCCTCTTTGTTCTATTAGATTTGTGATTGTGTAATACTTTAACATTTTTACTCTACTTTTCATTACTGTTGGGAATATCTGACAAATTTCTATTACAAAATTAATTAGTTTAAGGTGAATACAGTGCTTGGTTCAGTTGTACCACCTTTAACAGTTAAGGTTTCCCGTGCTTTTAGTACAGGTGCAAAAGATTATGCTATTATTGACAGCAAGGTGAGTGATGAGTCAATTATTTCTCCTGAGGGGTGAGGCTTTGGGAATATTTTTCCCCCTCTGATGCAATTATTTAGTTTCCTGTGTTTCTTTCTTATCTCTGGCACCTTCTATTTTGCATGACATAGGAACTCCAATATGACCAAGAAAGTGGATTTCATTTCTTGGATGCTTTTCCAAAGAATGTGGATGTGGGAACATATGTGTTTGTTTTTGAGGTATTCCTGTTTGTTTAATTTAGTTATTTATTTTAAATTAAGTTACATCAAGGTATATTTGTATCTTTGTATATTGATAACATTTTACCCTATTTTTTAGATTGTGCTTCATGATTGTGGCAGTGAAAATGTTTATGCAATCGGAGGCCAAATTCATGTACCAATTTTTGTCACTGGAATTATTGAAGTTGGCAATGCAGAAATATCAGTTCTAAACAGTAATATTGGAAGTAATGAAACCCAGAAAAAGTATGTTTCTATTTTTGTTTAATATCTTCTTTGTAAGTTTCTTTGGTGATATTTAGGATACTTTTGTTTTGTGATCAGTATGTCAGTTGATTGGCATTCTATCATGTGTTTGAAGTCTTAACTGAAATATGATTCATATTTTTGCTGCTTTTCTACTTGTAACTCTTGTATTCTTTTGATTTTTTTTTAATTTTTGACTTTCATTTATTCTTTACCTATCCAGGCTAGATTTGGCTGGAAATGACGTTGTTTCACTCTCAACTAATCACCTATTGCTTGCTTGTTTCTTCTGCATGCATTTCTACATTAATGTCTGCAGTAGAATCTGCTTCACTAAACCATACAACTTTACTTTCTATTGTGGCCTCTTTGTTCTATTAGATTTGTGATTGTGTAATACTTTAACATTTTTACTCTACTTTTCATTACTGTTGGGAATATCTGACAAATTTCTATTACAAAATTAATTAGTTTAAGGTGAATACAGTGCTTGGTTCAGTTGTACCACCTTTAACAGTTAAGGTTTCCCGTGCTTTTAGTACAGGTGCAAAAGATTATGCTATTATTGACAGCAAGGTGAGTGATGAGTCAATTATTTCTCCTGAGGGGTGAGGCTTTGGGAATATTTTTCCCCCTCTGATGCAATTATTTAGTTTCCTGTGTAACGAACTTTGGAATTAAAACAAGTAAAGGAAAACAAGTAAAGGAAAGAAAGTAAAGCATATACCAGTCAAATTTTCCTAGGGTGGAAGTCCAAGTGACACTTAGAATCCCTTGGACCACCTCCACAAGTACTAAAAGTTTTATGAAAGCAATAAACTAGACGAATCCTAGTGGAAACCCAAATGACACTTGAAGCCTTTTGGGGACACTTCCACAAGTGCTAAAAGGTTTTAAGAATCTTTATTTAGAACTATTTAGGAAGTGGTGGGATTTAAGCAAAATTTTT